GGGACTTGGTGGCAGCCTATAAGTATATAAGGGGTGCATATCAGGGACCGGGAAAACATCTGTTCAGGGCTCCCCAGGGGATGACTAGGACTAACACTCATAAATTGCTAGAAGATCGCTTTAGATTAGACGTAAGGAAAAACTTTACAACTCGAGTGACCGGGGTCTGGACTAGACTCCCCCCCAGAGATGGTGCAATCACCTACTCTGGAGATGTTCAAACAACTTCTGGATGCTCACCTTGCTGGGGTCCTCTGACCCCAGCAGTCTTCCTGCCCAAGCGCAGGGGGCCTGGACCTGATGATCCCGAGAGGTCCCCAACATCTACAAAGCTATGAATTCCCCCTATGTCCAGCAGCCTTTTTCCTCACCTCCCCGCTGGACGGTTACAGACCCCAGGGGCCAAGGGCAGTACAGACCGCAAAGCAGCGGCAGAGTTGCATTCCCAAAGCCGGTCACACTATGCTGAACACCAAGAAATGGTCCTAGGGCTTGGTGGCATGGTTTCATCAGGGTGGATCCCGACTCACGCAGGGCGCTGGACTGGATGCGACCTCCTGAGGTCTCTTCCGACCCTACTATTTTATGAATTAATAAAAGCCAAACCAGACATACCAAGGGGGAGTTTTTACAGTGGATAATAGTTGGGTTTATTTGCTAATTAGCTGTTAAGGTGTCTAGCATCCCCTGACGCACAGCTTCTATTACAAGCAGAGCTGCACGTGTTTCAGGTTTGAGAGCAGGCAAGGCCTCTGGACGTTTCAGGCTTCACCAAGCAGGAGACTGAAGGCCTTCAGCAAACCGCAGCATGAGCAGCAAATGGGGAGCAATTTCTCTCAGTACCAACCTTTGGTGGAGGGGATGGGGAAGGGGGAATTTTGATTTCCTGGCCCAGTCAGTTCTTGGTTTCTCTGCTGAGGCTGCCAATAGCACTAAGGGTTAAAAGTTATCAGTGATGAAACAAAGGGATAATGTCTAAGAGCCGACTGATGACAATGATTTTTGGCCAAATCCGTTTGAGCTGCTTTACAGAACTTGACTGAAGTCACCTCTGCTCTGAGGTTTGATTTATATATGTGGGTGCAAATTAAAGCCATATATATTTTATATGCATAGAATACAATGGCAAGGACTGCCCTGTGTGTTCAGCTTGAAAAAAAGCAAGCCAGCAAAGCCCATAAGCATTTACATAGACGGATCCTAGACTGGTGTGGCTCAATATAGCTCCTCTAATGCCTTGCCTGTTCACGCTGCCCGAGGACATGCCAACAAGGCCAGCACAGGAGCAGGGGGAACGCTACTCAAGCACACTGCATTATATTAGCAATGCCATTTTCCTTCTGCAGCTTCCTCT